TAAGGAAGCAAAAAGGGAAAAGAGGAAGAATCTATGATGAAGAAAAGCTTTTGGAAAAAGTGGGAGAAATTTTAGCTGGCAATATTCGGAAATGAGACACATGCTTGGTTGGCTCCTAAAATTGATGATGATAATGTGAAAGCAGACCCTCTGATTATTCCTCTGCCTCTTAAAGGCCTTTGCATGTGCCTACACGTGCTATCTAGCTATTCTTACAGCCATTCCCCCTTCTTCCATGCCATTTTCATTTGGGTTGTTGGCCTGTGGTTGCCGCCTACATAATATATAAATCATTCACTTATCTTTAACCATTTTAAGAATAAATTACAATATACTACTTCCTGTCTCAGATATAAGAGTTAATTAAAAATTTAATTTAGTTCCAAATGTAATACTCTAATCCATCCTATTTCCAATGTTTATCTATTTTGTTATCAAATAATTCATATAATGATTGCACATATTAAGGAGCGTTTATCAAGAGATAACTCATATACACATAATTACCAATGATATACTCCTCCGTCTCTTATTATAAATCTAATTTTTAAATGGGTTTGTCCCTTTTCATAAGATTCTCTTTGAGTTTGTTTGAGTATTTAATATATTATTACCTATTTTACTCCTAATTTAATATATTTAATACATTTTTTCTTCATTTATCTTACTATTACTCTTTCACATTTACCTATTTATATATAAGGATATATTTTTAAAAAAATTGCATTTGCTACATATTAATTATTTTTTACTAATTTTAACTGTTTTCTTAAACCACGTAATTTAGTTAAAATGATCTTATAATAAAGGATGAAGGGAATATTGGAGAAGGCAATATACATTTATTACAATAACTAACTTAACTAATTTTTTTTAGTATTTTCAAATTAGTTATCTAACTCTTATGTTAAAAACTGGAGATAGTATATGATTATGTATGAAATTCACATATTATACATTTACCCTCGTGGTTATGTTTTTTCAAGTGATTTCAAATATATATTCTGCATTGGCTTGTTTTTATGAATATAGAGACGTCAATCAGTAAAAATTGGTTTAGTTACAGTAAAGAACGATTACATACCTTACAAGATTAAAGTCGATTCTCTATATTGTTATTGTTAAATATTTCCGTTATCTTTGTTTACCTCTTCTGATTTGGATTTCCATTTCGCTCCTGTTGTTCTTTCTAAATTTCAGTAATGTATAATTATTATTGTTTTTTAATGACATTCTTATTAAAGATAGTTATGATTTAAAACAGGTGGCATTAATTGGAGTGCAAGACTGAAAAAGAAAAAATAATTATTATTATTACACAGTCACACCAGCACATAAATTTTACTTTCTCCTTAATTTGTGTGTTTTTTACCATGCAAACAAGTAACTAGTGAAGGAGAGAGTACTTTGTTAATAGATAAATAATCTACGAACATTTTCTTTAAATGTTTTTCCATTGCAGGACCTATTTTCGTCCAGATGATTTCTCACAACCCCAACTCACCATTTTTTCAATCTATAGGATTCTTTGTCAATTACATGAACTAATTTTTTTTTTCCAAAGACTAAAAAGAAGCATCATCCCAATACATCTATGCATATACGAGAGTTAGGATTTGTAATTACTTGTTCAAAACAACAAGCCACTCATAAAGAAAATTGACTTGATTAACCGCCAAGCGGTTTAGATAGACTAACAGGAGTCATTCCAAACTTAACAAAGAATTTTAAGTTCTAAACTTGAAATGGTCCTATCAAGTCTTGAATTTAGATTGGTTTGGGTTCATAAAGTTTCCCGTAATAAGGGGTCAGCCTAGCACATCAGGGGCATAAAAAAGACTTGGTCATCAAAATTCATACTCATATTTATATTATCTTTTTTTTAAAAAAAAAAAGTGGATTGGAATCCATTAAATGATGCTTCAATGGAAGTTTTAATATTGCCATAAGGGGTTGAATATCGGAACCTTGTCTAAACTTGTCAAACCATACAAACACCTTGCCCACACAAACCAACACTTGCCCAAACCTTATCCAAACTTGCCAAACCATACAAGCTCCTTACCCACACATGACAACACTTACTCGGACCTTGTCCAAGCTTGTTAAACCACAGCTATTTTTTGAACATAATTGGTATCAAGTTAGACTTTTTAAGACATTTTTGGACCCTTCCTTCGACATCTCGTTCCACCCTAAAAAAATAGGGGAATTCTTGAACTTTGTTGATTTGTTTTGGTGAGAAGAATCATAAATGGCGCTGAGAATGGGGCTAATATGATTCAAAATCCACAATTTTATAAGCGTCACAAAAAAAAAATGAAATGAAAGAAGAAGAAAAAAAAGTGAACTAGAAGCAAAGACTCAATGATGAGTTGTAGACATATGGGTAGCTTGAATATAACTCATTGGGGTGAATACACAGTAGCATTTTTATTGGCATGTTCCTTGGAAGTCTTATAGATCAGTTCATATCATACTGTGCTGGTTGGTACATACAAGGATCGTCCAAGTCATGCTATCCATGATTCATCCAGTCCTTACCTTACCAACCTTTCCCTGCAAGAAACATATCACCCAAAAAGGTTTCTTCCTAACATTAAAAATCAGATCAAATTAATTATTAAATGTCATATAATGCATGTAACTAATTAAAGATGCGTGATGGAGTGAACTAAGGTAGATGAGTAGTCCTAGGTTGTAAGGGAAGGGAAGGATGTGTAGTTTGGTGTACACACACACACATGAATCAATGAAACACCAAACAAATAAAAAAAGAAAGAAAAGAAAGAAAGATCCTCCCTTTTTTTTTTTTGGGCTACATGAGAGAGGAAAGATCGTCCCTCGTTTAATAATTGAGTGGGTTAGAAAAGGGTTTGATACCCCTTAGTAAAAGGTGTAATATTATGAGAGCTAATAATAGTTGAATTTAGCTGATTAGTTGGTAGTGCCACTCTTAATTAAAGCCAGGCGTTTGAATTTTACGAGGAAAAATTAATCATTTGATTTGTATGGTTTTAATTTAACTAAACTCAATTTATGAATTTTAATTCAGTTCAACTCAATTTTAATAAATTTTGACTCGATTATAACTTAATGTTTGAATTTTGAATTTAAAATGCACTTACATTTTAAAATAATAAAACTATAATAAGGATGAGAGTTATTTCGTAAGGATTAGGAGCTAATGTTCTGAACGGTAAATTATAAGAATTATAAGAATTAAATTACACTAACTCAAAGTTCATGGGTTAGCTTTTAAATGAGTCAAAATTATAGAAGCTATAAGTTACACCAAAATAAAGTTTATGAGTTATGTTCTAATCCGGTTAAAATAATACAGAAAAATGAAAAAAAAAATTAATACCATATTTGGTAATAAAATTTGATCTTATTTTAGTTTTGGTCTATGAAACTTGAAACTAATAATTTTGGTACGTAAACCTTGCTTTAGGGACAAAAACACAGTTTGAGGACCAAAAATTATTAAATGAACCAAAATGAAGTTAAATTTCAGACACCTTGATTACGGGTTTTAAATTTTGGAGATTAAAACCAAAATAAATCAAATTTTAAGAACTAAAAATAGCATTAATCTGATAAAAAAAGTTAACAAAATAAATCAAATTTTAAGAACTAAAAATAGTATTAATCTGATAAAAAAGTTTTCTGCTTTTATGAATAAAATAAAATTAGGGTAAAAAGAAGCATATGTTGTTTAGGGATAATGATGGAATTTAAATTAATTAGTGGTAGCGGATAATGCATAGAGCTATAAGAAAAAGGAAGAGATATTGAGGACCTAACTTAGCGGGAAAGCAGCAACGAAAATTAGTGGAGTTGGAAGAGGGCTCATCAATCATCATTGATGCGCAACGTAATGGTAAAGGTATGATGTTGGAATGCCGCTCCAATTATCTGAATGGGATCATCACCAGATTTGCAGCCTTGTTTATTTCCATTCTATTCCTTACACTATTACTATTATTATTATTATTATTATTTCTCCTTTTGCTTCTAAAGAAGTGTTTGGGTAATCCCAAAAGTATTTTTTAAAAATACTTTTTCACAAATCGAGACAAACTCTTCTATATATTTATTTCATATACTGTAAAAATACTTTTAAAACTATGATTTTGTTTTTATCCAAACACATTCTAAATCTGTAATTGCAATAAATAAGGAATGATAAAAGAGAGAGAGCGAGCCAATTTTTTTTTTTTGGGGGGACCATATAGAAAGCTACCCCGCTCTACTTATTATTATTGTTATTATTATTTGTTCCAATAAAGATTTCTTGTGCGTGATCTGTGTCCATGTCAGAATCCCTGCATGCCTCATAAATAGCTGCATTTGTACGTTACCTACAATGTTTAAAAAAAAAATAACAGAAGAATATTTCGTAATATATATGCATACACACCAAGAATATTATACTCCTCCGGTCCTAAATGTAAGACCCTTATATATAAGGGTCTTACATTTAGGACCGGAGGAGTAGTACAACTTAGTTTCATGTATTGAAATTAAATATTTCATGCATGCTTCGTGCTTCTCTCGCCCACACACGTGAGTTGCCTTCCTCATTTTTCTTCTTCTTTATTTTAACAGGTGAGGTCCAAATCGTGACCTTTTTATTTATAAGAAAAATTTGCATCTCACTAAGTTATAATATCACTGACGCCTTCCACATTTGTCTATGATTGTTTCTTTGGCTGTGCGAAATTTTACATTAGCTAGAAAAAGTTGAAATTATCAAGAAAGATACTGCCATAAATTGCAATTTAGGGGGGGACATTATGTATTAAAATTAGATTACCTTGTGATCTAATAATATGAAAACTACGTTACAAATAGGAAGTTTTCTTGAAAAAAAACATTTTTAAAACAAAAAATGAAGGCAAGAAAGAGGCAAAGTTCGTTTGGAAGCAGCTGTTAGAGCGTGGGAGAATTGATGACTGAACCCAAAAAAAAAAAAAAAGGAGAATAAATAAATAAGAAAAAGAAAGCGAAGAAAGAGAAGGCTAGAACACGAAGGAGAAGAAATTAGGTGCAGTACTGAAGACAGAGCAAACAGCTGAAATGATTTGGTTTGTTTTACAGGAATTTTATGTAATTTGGGGGATGGCGTTGTGTTCACCATTTCCAGAAAACATTAGATCCACACTTGTACTTGTCCTTCCCTTCGCATTCCAGGTCCAAATCTTCACTCAGGAATGGCACTTTCTGCAACCACATTTCAGTCCAAACCAATCAGCGAATGAACAATACGAATCAGAAAGAAATATTTCAATAGAGATAGATCGACGAGTACCTTTTGCTTCGCAAGATCTTGGCAGCCAGTGAAGTTCTCAGGGAACTTGCAGCTCCCAAATTCCACTGTGTAAGCCCTCGCGAAATTCGCGCCGCTTGTCGCTAATCTCTTCTTATCATTCAATTCCTACATCACCAACACCATACAAATCACCATCCATCGAGGAAGTAATTAAGCAGATCTCAAACAGGAATTGAGAAGCTAGGGCAATATTTGTACCTTGTTGGCCTTGCTTCTCTCGAGGTATTCTTCAATGACGCCGGCGTTTGCAGAAGAAGACGCGGCGGCGGCTGTAAACACGGTAGCGGCTAACAGAGAAAGAGCGGCTCTTCTTCCTTGAGGACCGGCGGACGAGGAGGCTTGCTGGGCCTTGATGACCGGCAATTTGGGGGAAGACACCGCCATGGAAGTGTGCTTGGGGTTGAATTCAGAAGAAGCCACACCAGATATGGCGTAGGTAGAAGCAAGCACAGCAGAGTTCATGGAAGCCATTGGTGCGGAGAATGGCGAGGTAATCACACAGACGCAGAGACGAGAGAGAGGGTGAAGGAGGAGTAGGAATTTAGTAGGGAGGAAGCGGGAAGATGCTTATGTGGATATGAGATCATGGAAGGGGATTAGAGATTGTGGTGGGCGTGTGGATAAGGCGAGATTGCCTCGTTCCTATTGGCAATTCTCAATTTTGATATACTCGGTTCTGATACTTCTGGGCCCCACCTCTATTTCACAATGTGTGCTTCATGTCTGATGCTCATCCCTCCCCACTCACATCTTGGTCAAAAATCACAGCATTTACATGTTGATAGAGAGAGCCAAGAAAATTGGAAAATTGGTCCACTTTTTATTAGGAATTTTGGTTAATTGTTTAATACTATATTCGATCCTAATTATAAAATCTTATTTGTAATATACAAATGAGATATTATAATTAGAACTGAAGGTAGTACATATATAATGTAGAAATGAAAGGCAGAACAAACTATATAAAGCCGTCTACCAAGGAAATTGAGTTACATTTTCAATTGCATAAAAATTTTAGTTTACAAACAAATTTTTAAGCATTAGTACATTTTTTAATAGTCAAACTTCATATAAAATTTTAGTTTAATTCGTTAATTTTATAAAGCATCTTTTCAATATTTTAATCTTAATAGGATTAGTCTCGGGTGGTATTTTTTTATGCTAATAATTTTATTTTAAAATATTATAATATATTAATATTTGAAAATATTTTATTAACATTTAAACATGTTGATATTTTTTGTGAAAAGGAATAATATTAGAATTAGAAATTTTAAAAAATATTATATAAAATTAATCTATGCAAATAAAAATGTGTATAAAGTCAAAAGACAAAAATGTACTTTGCTCAATAATTCCTTATAGCTGGATACACAAAAAATATTCATATCTAAAAAAAAAATTTCTTTTAGAGTATTCTATTTTTCACGTCAATTTGTGTCCTGTATATCAGGAGGAGCACTCAATTAATTTGAAAGATAATAAGTAATTTTGCCTCTTCAGCTCAAAAAAAAAAAGTCGTTTGACCAGCATTATGCCTCTACTTTTAAATTCCAAAAAAATAAATATATCAAATGATGTCATATGCATGATAACAATTTAATGTCCATAACCAATCTTATTTGTTTTAAATTCATAGCCCCATATCCGGTCAAAAAAAATTTCATAGCCCCATAAGAAAGTTTTTGGACCGGGGCAAGGAGACCGAACTGTGAGAGGGAAGGTTTAAAGAAGCGCGGACCAATCTTTAAGTAACGAATTGGGCTCCCATAAAGCCCTGCAATAAAGAAAGCCCACCTTTTGAACAGGGAACATTCGTAAGAAATAGAGAAACACATTTACCAACAAGAGTTGAGTTTAACAAAATAAACTAGTTTATCACAAAATGACCAATATTTAGTATTTGATTGTGTCTAAGATAGCATTGTCTCCGATAAAGATACTACGTATAGGTAGCATAAAAGTGAAGCATTTTGAAAAATAGAGTCCAGTCTTGTTTGGAGCTTGAGAAGCACAGTTCATAAAAATGTATTATCTTAGATTATGAGCCCTTCTTTTTTTCAGCCAGGACATTATGGTCTCATTTGGCACGAAACATTAAAATAAGAGATAGAGACTCTGATTGTAATTGAAAAAAATTCTTTAAAAAAGTTTTTAGTATAAGTAATTACTTGTTACCTGGAATTAGACAAACCCATGAAAGCATAATTGGGAATACGACTTTCTCTGATAATATTCCTTAATCCCACATACTAATAAACACTATTTTTTTCAATTTTAATTCTAATTCCTACACTTTATTTTTAATATTTCATACCAAATAGGATCTATGAGCCCTTCCAATGACGATGTCGACATTACGATATCAATATATCAGCATAATGTTTCTAGCCAGAATATAACAACATGATTAATAAAAGTCAGGTAATATTCGTAAGAAAAATATTGTTTATGAATCACGAATAATTTGTTTTACTTTAAACTCCAAGGGAGCACTCTGGAAAGAACATACTTGGTTCAGTTAGATTAAGGAGTGTTTGCTTTTTCCCAAAAGTGCTTTTTAAAAGCATTTAAGTTGAAATAAAACTCATCTCATATATCTATTTCATATACTGTAAAATTACTTTTAAAACTATGATTTAGTTTTCACCCAAACACTCTCTAAATTAGATCGAATGTGATTGATATGTGTTACTTTAGTAATACAGATAATATTCTTCGACAGAATTGAGGTTCATTTTTATTGAAAATTAGGAAGGAAAGTGAGCTGAAATAAAATTGTGGCTACTCTCCTCATGTTAAATAGGCACATTCTTGAAGTTGTTTCCCAATTAGGGGTGGAAACAGGCCAGGCGGCCTGTCAGGGGCCTACAGCCTGGCCTGTATTTGGCCTGACCTGGTCTGGCCTGTTTTTCAAAAGAGACAGGCTCAGGCCTGTTTGAAGGCTTGTTAAAGTTAATAGGTAATGATATTGTTAATAATAGCAAAAAATGTTGCTATTAAGAAATACAAATAATGTAATAAATGTTGCTCTCTAGACTCATAGTTTTTTAATTTGTCAGCAAAAAATAGCATTGATAACTAATAATGTAACTTTCATTTCAGCATTCTTTTGCAAGATAAATCTAAATAAAATCAAAATCAACGAGGTTACCGATTATATATAGATGCAAGAAGATGATTATCAGCATAATAATATATTTTTAAGTCCATAATAAATAAATTTCATCCTATCTTTTTATATTTAAGTTCCTTATTATTTTGTATTTTGTAGGAATTTATACGCCGTTTAGTTAGTGTCCACGTTAATTTTAATCAACAAATTATAAACACGAGGAGTAATGCCTTCGAAAATTTTGTAACGAAGCAACCAGAATTAAAAAAAATACAAATATATAAGGAAGAATTAGTGTGAAGTTCTTGAAAAAAAATTTAATTATCAAAAAGTCTAAATAGTAAATACTTTTTTGGTCCTATTTATAGGATAAAGAGAAAAGACATTTTTTGCTCATATTTATAAAGCATTGAGAAAATTTTTTTGCATAGATATACTCCTCCGGTCTTTATATAAGACCTATTTAACTAATTTGATTAGATTAAAAAAATTAGTTAAATTAGTTAATTATAAAAAAAGTGAAACATTTTTCCTAAAACACCATAATCATCTTTCTTAATATCCCGTCCCCCTCTTCTACTTGATAATGGTTGAGGGAATATCTATAAGGGTAATTTAGAAAAAAATGATAAATATAAGAAATTGGTATTATATTTAGGATCAAAACCAAGTCAAGAATTTAGTCTTATATTAAAAATCTAAAGAGTATAATTTTATGTTTTCATTTATTATTGTGTTGACTTTGTATAATGTACATTAAATAAAAATAAAATTAGAAAATTAAATTTTAAATAAAAATTAATAAAATTTAGATTTTTTTTATATATGTTCGACTGAGGATTAAGCAACAGAAACCTTTCGTCATTCTTACATACTCCTCGGTTGTTATTTGACTTTTTGAGTCGTTAAATTTCTCCTTTGAAAGTTAACGGTAACTCCTTCAGTACCTAATTCAAAAAAAGATACAACTATAAAAATATTTCCTTCTAAATATCTTGTAAATTGAATAGTACTACGGCTTGGCAGGGTGAATGATGAAAGGAGAGTGATGGGGAATTTGAGAGGTAGTTCGATAAGGATATGATGTGACATGGGACTCAGCCTAGTGAGTAGTGAGTAGGTTGCTGTCTGTGTCTCTATGTGCTCCCATGTTTGCCAAATTCACTGGAACCACAACTCCACACTGTGGCATTTATGAGGACGACATAATTCCCGTAGATGTGTAAATTGATGACAAAGTGGAGGGCGGAATCTTACACAGTGATCCCATTATTCTTCTAAATGGACGCCGAATATATAAATGGCGTCCATATTCATCAGCCTTACACTTGAGAATTAATAAAGCTACTTTTTTTATGAATCATTTTGTGACTTGTTTAAGCCACTAATTAACTTCATTATTATTAGACATGCTCTCTTGTCTTAATTTAACCCACCTAGTGCAACTGCAAAATGCCATCTCATTCTTCAAAAATTAAATTAATCATTTCCCCATCATCAATTATTACTATCTTTGTCTTATGTTTTGTTTTTACATAACTAAGAATATCCTCAATTCATTTTAAGTTTAAAACTAATTTTTATCATGTCAGAAATATCAAGATTAAATTTTTTTTAATAAATACGCTTCTCGAGATTTGAATCGTGAAAGTATTTATCAACCAACATTTTGTTGGTTTTGTTTGTTGATTTTATCTTTACATTTATTCACCTGCTTTCAATCTTCCTTTCTCTCTCTTCAATTATGTTGTTCTCTCACCAGCCAGAAATTTAGTTTAAGGGCAAACTGAATTTTCACTTCGAAAATATCTATCCATAAATTATACATATGGGCACTTAATCAAAGAAAATTATGAATTAATGTGGCTGACAATCTTTTAAAAATAATAGTAAAATGTTGTCTCCATTTTGAACAGTGAACATGTGTAACCAACTGTTAGTGAGGATCGAGAAAATTATTTCTTTTATGAGCCAATTCCGATGGTTAAAAAAAAAAAATTAAGCTTACATTGATGTTGAAAAATCATATATTGCATATTGAGAAATAACAAGAGAAATAAATGTTGCTATATTTTATTTTTTCCCCATTTCATCATCTTATACATTTTAGGGACCAATTACAGTGAATCTTTTGCACCGCTTAAAACACTACAAATTTTATTCATAATATGATATAAGCAATTCTATGAAAAGTTGAAAACAAATATCACACTTCGCATTTTTCAATATTGGCAGGTGATAGATGATCTGCTTAATGTAAATCAGTGTCCCACGCAGAGCTAGTACCATATATATACATTATGCCATAACCACAGGAATAATTAATTAATTCATTAATAATAATAATTAATAATGCGTCCAGCTTAAGCAATTAATCATATTCGAAGCAGAGCCTGTGCGATATATACTTTGTGCTAATTTTTGTACCAAGTGTTTCAACAATTTCCTCTTTTGGTTCCAACGTTTTGGATTTAATTAATACCCCTTTTCATAGTGTCTTTCACTCTCAGCTTCCATTTATTCTTCATTCTTCATTCATCAACCCCCACCCCCACCTCCATTATTAAGCACCGCACTTTCATGCTTATGAACACAATCAATCTGTGCTTCATCATTCTGAAATAAATAGCTTTTCCCAATATATATTATTGAAAAAAGAATGCAAAAACTACTACAATTCAGAATAGCTATATTACACTTAGTATAACAGTAATAACTCCTCAGGATCTCTCTCAACTCTATATATACACTTATGAGAAAGTGAAAATTAAACTGAAAATGATCGTAGTTAAGCTTAATTCCTACGTTTGTTTCTAGGCATCGTTATTACGTACCATGCCCTCTGGTTCTAAAGGTGCGATCCTCACAATAGTTTCAGCAGAAGCAGCAGAAGATGGCTGGGACGTCGTCGTTTCTGACCCTATGATCTTGTGACAGGTCTGAATAAGGCAGTGCCTGCACTTAGGGCAAGACGAATGCGAGCTGAGCCACTTGTCAATACAACGAACATGGAAGCCATGGTTGCACTTTGGAAGAATTCGAAGGCGATCGCCATTGTTGAACTCAGAGAGACAGATCGCACACTCTGGGTCCAAACCTGGGAGCTTCAACTCAGAAGAGTAGGTCACTGTAGGGAAAGTTTTGAGAGCCTTCTTCTTCACTCCGGTGCTGGCTAATCTAGCCGGAGGGTTCGTCGTGTTCAAGTCGTTGTTATTGAGAACGACGACGTTGGAACACCTTAAGGCACATCTGATGATGGAGTTTAAACCCAGTGAGCAGATGAGAGCACACAAGAGGACAGACAGTACCATGATAACATTTGCATCGAAGTTACCATCTCCGAGGAAGGAGGATTCTGCCGAGTTGTTGGAAGATGAGGGGTTGGTTGATGAGTTGAGGTGGGAGTGAAGGAACAGTAACCTTCTAGAGTACTGGAATTGATGATCGCCAAGAAGGTCATGGAAGAGTAGCTGAGAATTTGCAGAAGCAGACATGTTTGTCTTTGCTTGTTGATGAAGAAGAAGATGAAGAAGAAGAAGAATTGAGTAGTGTTAGAGGGGTTAAGATGGGTTGAAGGGGATTATATATGAAGGGGGATGATTAGAATATCCCTAGGAGAAGGGGGGGTTAATTAATAACGTTGGTGTCTTGGTAGATTGAGATTGAGATTTGATTTAGCAGAAAATGGATGCTCCACTTAGTGGGGTTTAATGTTTTTGCCTGAGTATATAATTGAATTATGATAGGAAAGTGGATCCCTCTGCTCCACTTTAAGCGCAGTAGGATGTGCCACGTGTCTGATATGTTTCGGCAGAATCATAAATCCTCTCCCATGCTGATCCTGCGGGCTAGCTAGCTACCACCCCACTAGCTAACCTTAGCTTCACCTGAGAGGAAACTAATGGATCCTCAGAGAATTGGCTCATCATTGGTTTGGAATGGCCTGAAAATAAGGTTTCAAAGTCCAGTTCAAGGTTTGGTCATTGGAATTTATACAGTAACAATTGACAAATGTTTTTTTTTGTTTATTATTATTATTATTATTATTATTATTATTATTATTATTATTATTACCAGTGTTTGTGTGTGTGTTTGTTTTTAGATCAAGAAAACAAAAAGATACCTTTGCACAAACAACTGGACGACCTTTTAGAATGAAATATATTTTTTTTCATTTAACAGCAATTTTTAATCAGTACGGTTTTTTCCCCCCCCAATTCACGTTTGGTCTTTTGGATTCAAAAGAGAAAGTAATCTAAATGGGATTGTCCGTACTCACCTTTAATGAGGACAGAAACAATAACATATTTTGTGTATTTGTTTATTAATTATCCAAAATCAGATACTATTTGTTTAAAGATCTGAGCATGATCCGAGCCAATTAAGGGCAATTTTTATTTAATTTTTAATTTTCACGAAATTGACATTGATATTTTCTTTTGGCTTTGCTTTAAATTTAACGTGGGAGCCACTGCCCTTTTATTTTTATTTTTTTTCCAATCAGGCCAAACCAAAGAACATGGAAGCCACCAAAGAGGTATAATCATGGCTATGGGAACTGATCCAGATGCTTAAGAATGTGTTATGTATTTAATCCTCTAATCCTGTTTATAGGGTAAAGAGAGAAAATATTTTTTGGTCATATTTATAGGGCATTAAGAGAAATTTTTTGTATGGGTATATAATTTTATTCTTTATTTATTATTGTGTTGACTTTATTTATATGAGGTATAATGTATATTAAATAAGGATAAAGTTAGAAAATTGTTAAATTTTAAATAAGAGTACATGAAGTTTAAGGGCTTTCCTGGTCTGTATAAAACATGTTGGAAGTCACTAATAAATAGAACTAAAGGAGTACAACGTAAATCAAAAATTAATTTTTCATATTTTTAAATTTAATTTTAACCCAAAAATTATTAAAAACCATTGAAATATTTTATTTAAACGTCCCCCTCCCCACAACACCATAGGCACCAAAATCAAATCCCTCCGAACTTGACCATATCTTATAATTAAACGATATTTATCATTCTTCTTTTTTGACATTCTACGTGGATGGATGTTAATTATCAACCTTAAAATCTTTGTTTACATAAATCAGATTTGAATCTGAAAGATTAGACGTTTAAGCACGATTGAGATCAATATGGAGTTATCTGCAAGCTCCAGCTGGAAAGTTTCATTAACCCTAGCAACTAGTTTTTCTCAATTAACAAAACAAGACAAAGTTAGCTTGCTAGCTTATTTATTAGTACTAATCTTATCTCACAATAATAAAACAACTTTTTAATTCTACGAATCTTTCATAGTATACTTAAAATGAAACATGTCATGTTAGCCGCCAATAATCAGATAAAATATAATAGAAGAAGAGATTCAAAATGCTCAAAAGCCTGCAAGTAGTTAGATCGCAATATCCCGTGAGGATGATACTAAATTTATTAATTACTACATCAATTTGGCAGAATGGTTTGGTCTGATATTCTGATGTGCAATTTTAGTTTCTGATTTGTCAAATTAATCTTAGATTAATACAAAACAAAGGGAAGTACTTTGTGTATGTTGTGTATTATTATAAATTATTTGTACGGAGGGAAATACGCGGAGACAAGTGGGAGAAGCCTGCTCTTTTTAAAAAAATTAAAAATTAAAAATATTAAAGTTCAATAATATTAATAAATAATATAATGATTAGTATTAAGAGCTGCCAAAAAGATCAAGGATAAGTTTGCCTTAAATTTAAAAGTTGTGCTTTTTTTTGGCTTTGCTTTAGCCTTTAGGATGTCCTACATATCTGGGCTGGATCTCACTATTGCTTGTTGTTTCTCCGGGCCCACACGGCCCACACGTAAGGACCCCACTGTCCAGAAAAAGTTTAAAAATGTGTTAGAATGAATTGTGTTCTAAAATTCGTACAGGAAAAGTACCAAAACTCATTTTAAGAGAAGCATCGTAAAATTATTTTTAAAAATCTATTTCAAACACTTTCTAAATAAATTTTTAGGAAGTATTTTCATTTGAGAATAATTTTTGACAAAAAATTTGATGATAAGAAATTCAAAACATCTTTATATAATACCATTCAAAATAGTTAAAAAAAATTCTGAATAGAGGTTTAACCTTATTTATTACTACATGAACAAAAAATTAAGAGTAATATTTGTAAGAAAATAGTTTAAAAATAAAAAGAAATTGGGTAATTAAACGTGGTTGAAATTCAATGAGAACTTGGTGGGGAGACATGAAATGTACGGGCTGAATTTGGACCCCTAGTGATGTTGTGATGCCTCATCTCACGTGCCAAACAATATAATACTACATCTTATTTTTAATATAAAAACTAGTTTAACTTTTAATTTAGTCTTAAATATAAGATCTCAATTCATTTTATCTATCATATTTATCTATTTTTTTAAAGTAGTCCTTATAATAGCTGTGCATATTAAAAATTCCATCAAATAGTAGTTTCAGCTAATACACATAATTAGCAATGGTATTCTAAAGAAAACAATACATATTTATTATAAATAACTAACTTCACCAACTTTCTTAATTTATTCAAATTAGTCAACTAATTTTTATGTTAAGGATGAGAGGTAATATAATCGTTGATTTTTCTCCCTATTTGGACACGCATTCGTATTCCTAATATGATTATGCAGGCACGGCCCTATTAAATATTTCCTTCCCTGTATATATATATATCCTGTTAATAATGTGTATATATACTCTTGATATACTCATTTTCTGAGGGTATGAATATATATTACTTCTAAAGAGGCCACCAGATTTTGTAGGGTCTTGTCTAGGTCAGATCATAAGCATCAAAAGCAGCTCCGAATAAAAATTGCTTGCATTATTGTATATGTCGTGTTATGTTTGCTATAGGAAAAAAGTCATTTTTGTAAAGCGGAAAAATTAAATTTGTGTGGTTGGCATATTGATAATTAATACTCCTCCGGTCCTTAATATAGGACCCAATTGTTGAGTTGATTTTGATCCTAAATATAAGACCCATTTATCATATTTATCAATTTTCTCTAAATTACCCCTATGGATACTCTATCAACCATAATCAAGTAGAAGATAGAGGGGAGTATTAAGAAAGATGATTATGGTATTTTAGGAAAAACATGTCACAATTTTTATAATTAACTAACTTACCTAACTTTCTTAATCTAATCAAATTAGTTAAATGGGTCCTATATTAAGGACCGGAGGAGTATTAGTTTCAATCCTTAATATAAAAGCTAGTTGACTAATTTGAGTAGATTAATAAAGTTTTTTAAGTTTGTTATTTGTAATAAATAAGTGTTATCTTCTTTAAAATACACTTACAAATTATGTGTATTAGTTAGAACTATATTTGACATGTGCAACTAATATAAGGATTACTTTAAAAAAAAATATGAGAGATAAAGTAAATTGAGGTCTTATATTTAGAATCAAATTAAATGTTAAACTAGCGCTTATATTAAGAACATGAGATAGTATGATATATGTTGAAAAAAATAATATGATATATTTTTCTAACTATAATTAAAAGAATAAGTTTTTAGGAAAGCCCATTTCTCATGCTTATTCTCATATTTCAAGGTCAAAAAAAATTCTTATTCCTCTCTTTATACTAAACATAGCATTAGTATTAATCATATATAGTAGTTATAACCCATGATTATTATATTTATGAATAATTTGACTCGTTACACATTTATATATGTGTATGAACTTTTGTGATGACTTGCTGCTTTATATATACACACTTATATTTATAACTTTTATTACATATATATAAGTCTAACGAAATAAAGCAAAACAATTAATTTTCCTTAGTCATGGCATATTGACATCGATTAGATTTTACCTTACTAATTAAGCAAAACTTAAGCTCCAATTATCTAATTAGTATTATATATAAATATGTGTGTGTGTGTGTGTGCACCTTGTTCCCAAGATTCTATGTTTCTCTTAATTTTAACTGGGGGAGTGACTATAATAAAAGCACTTGATGAGTGGGAAAGTGAAGGGAGGTTGATTGCGGCGTGTTGCTTGTAACCCAAGTGGGTGATTATATTCTTATTGATTTAGATTTCTCAAAATTGCATCTCAGGCCCTAACCTTTAATACTATCTCTGATCATTAATATAAGAGTTAGTTTGATATTCAATTTGGTTCTAAATATAAGACTTCAATCCATTTTGCCTCTTATATTTTTTTTTCAAAGTGGTTCTTGTATTAGTTACACATGTTAAAAGTTTCATCAAATGTAGTTCTACCTAATGCACATGATTAGTAAGTGTATTTTAGGAAAGACAACACCTATTTATTACAAATAACAAACTTAACTATTTTTTTTAATCTATTCAAATTATTCAACTATCTTTTATATTAAGAACTGGGAAGTAGTATATAGTTTCTTAATCTAAGGTCAACTTGTGTCATTAATATTATAATACACTATTATCTATAGGTACACCTGAGTTTGGTTTTTATTCATTTACAACGTTACATACGGTGGTTGACACAGTTTTGTTTTTGAGCAGCCAATCAATACGTTGATTTTGCACGACTTGTGTGTGTGTAAGCTTGGATGTAGTATGACTGTGTAGACACACAAATGCGCCAATCAATTGCATTTTAGTATAAAATACTACCTCCACTTCTAAATATAAAAGCCAATTGGAGATTTAATTTGGTCATAAATGTAAGTCTTAATTTATTTTGTCTTTTGTATTTATTTATTTTCAAAGTCATCCTCATGATAATTACAATATGTTAATAAAGGATTTTTATTTTAATGTACATGATTAATAATGATATTTTAGAAAATATAATATATATTTATTACAAAGGGTTAATTAATCTGCAAGTCCTTATAGTTTCAACCAATTTTGAATTAGGTCCTTATAGTTTTTTTTCTTTTTATCAGGTCCTTATACTTTCATCTATTTTTAATTAGGTCCTCGCATTTATTTTTCTTTTTATTAAGTCCTTATAATTTCACTAAAATTTTAATCAGGTCCATCTAGTTTTAATTTTTATTTATTAATTAAATAAATTAATCCTGAAATATAAAATATTAATAATTATATAATAAAAGATAAGTAATATAATTAATTGATTCAGGAAAATTTTTTAAAACAATTAATCTTTTTGCTAAAAAATAAAATTATTATAATAATTCATTATTTTTAGAATATTATTGTTTATAAACTAATATTACATAATGTATACTATTTTATGTTCATAGAATAGTACTATTATAATTTATAAAATAAAGAATAAAAAATTCAGGGACTTACTTAAAAATAAGGTAATCTTATAAGGACTTGATAAAAAGAAAAATAAATACAAGGACCTAATTAAAAACAAATGAAAGTATAAGGACCTGATAAAAAGAAAAAAAATTATAGGGACCTGATTCAAAATTGGTTGAAACTATAAGGACTTGCAGATTAATTATCCCTATTACAAATAACTCACATAATTTTTTTAATATTTATAAATTAATTATCTACCTTTTATATTAATCATCTACGGCCAGTGTATAATTAAAAAAAGAAGGAACCAGAGGGGTTTTCTTATCTTGGTCGAACATGGTATATATAATTAATTAATCAATCTGTTTTTTTCCCATCCTTTTGAGGATTGAATAATAATCGCTTTTTGGGGTTGGAGTTGGATCCATTGGTTGATTCAAATGGCACTTTGTTAGGTATTAGCTTGTAATGTTGCCCACTTTTAAGGGCATGCCGGTTTTGTACAACTTGGAATTGGTTGATATTAAGAGGTACCATATGGATGATCCTTTTGCACTTTTTGATCCATAACATAAGTTTCTTTTTAAAAAAAAAAAAACCAAAGTTAGCTTGACAAAAAGTATAAGTTTAGTTTGATCTTATCTCCAATATTTAATATTTTATTCTATTTGACCCTTCTGTACAACTAAATTTGACAAGTAATTAATTAATTATAACTAATGCAGTAGTGATTCTAGACAAATGTATATCTGAAAAAGTTTTACAAATTTTTTATATATTTAATAATATAACTTCCTTTTAATTATTATTTTTACCCTACATTTGGTAGTTAAATCAGACTTATATTATGGATCAGAAAAGTAGTTTTTATTGTCAAGTTAAATGCTGTGCCATTTCATAATATGTACCCTCCACATATATAGTCCCTGTACCATTCTCATACTTATCATTTCTAATTTAAAAAAGTTAGCTATATCATTAAAATTGTTCAGAAATTCATTTGCAGTCAATCTTTACCCAAAAAAATATCGTAGACTTGAAAAATAAACATTATTCTTTCTATTCTCTCATTAGAAATTGACAAGGAAGGCTCTCTTGAAATAGAACTATTAATGCTACACAAAAACTGTTATAAACAGAATTATATTTTGAACCATGAAACCTTTTTGCAATGCCACTTATCTTTTGTTTTCTTTTTTTGGGTTATGCATAAACATCTTCTCATTGAAAGTAATCCTATTCAATATACTATCGAATACTAAATATGAACATTTCTTCCCGCATGAATTCAAATCTTGGTAATGCATGTTCCAAATATTGGCACATGTAAAACTCCATCAATCCTAAGCAAGTTATATACATAACATAAATCAAATATGTTCTTAAATTTGATGGTTATTTGCAAATAATTGTCAATTTTTTCCTTTCCAACCAGAAGATTAACAAATTTATAGAATAATCTTATAAGATAAAATAACTGTCAAATTTTAGCATTTCCGTAGTCGTGGATATTGAAAGTAGAACCTTGTGCAATAACACACTATTGTAGTAATTTTGCACTATGTTTCAGACATTTCCCCCTTTCTAAAGTCACCATGTTTTTCTTTATTTAATAGCCCTTATATGGGAGTGTCTTTCATCGAGCAGGCACCACTTTCATGGTTGCGAATTAATCTGCGGACTTCTGAAAATAGCTTATATTATTGAAAAAGAATGCAAAACTAGTTCAATTGAAAAGTAGCCATATTAACCCTTAGGGTAAGTGGTAAAAATCAAAACAACTCGGGATCTCTGAAGTCTATATACACTTATGACTTGAAAGAGACAAAGTCACATAGAGGAAGATAAAGTGAGAAAATATTAAAGATGGTAGTTATAATAAGTTCGTCCCTATCTTTGCTTTAGTTACGCACCATACCCTCTGGTTCTAAAGGTGCGATCCTCACAATAGTTTCAGCAGGAGCAACAGAAGAAGGCTGGGTCGTCGTCGTCGTCGTCGTCTCCGACCCTACGATCTTGTGACAGGTCTGAATAAGGCAGTGTCTGCATTTAGGGCAAGACGAATGCGAGCTAAGCCACTTGTCAATACAACGAACATGGAAGCCATGGTTGCACTTTGGAAGAATTCGAAGGCGATCGCCATTGTTGAACTCAGAGAGACAGATCGCACACTCTGTGTCCAAACCTGGGAGCTTCAACTCAGAAGAGTAGGTCACTCTAGGGAAACTCTTGAGAGCCTTCTTCTTCAACCCAGTGTTGGCCAATCTAGCCGGAGGGTTCGTTGTCGTGTTCGAGACATTGTTGTTATTGAGTACGCTGTTGCTGAAATAACACTTTAAGATACATCTGATGATGGAGTTTAAACACAGCGAGCAGATGAGAGTAAAGACGAGGACAGACAGCACCATGATGATATTTACATTAAAGTCAACCTCTCCTAGGAAGTAAGACGATGATTGTGTCGAGTTGTTGTTGTGAGAAGAAGATGGGTTGGATGAGTTGAGGTGGGAGTTTAGGAAGAGTAACCTTCTAGAGTACTGGAATTGAGAATTTGCAGAAGCAGACATGTTTGTGTTTGCTTGTTGATGATGAAGAAGAAGAACTGAGTTAGAGGTCAAGATGGGGTCAAGGGATTATATATAGGAATGACAGAGAGAGAGAGTGTGTGTGTGTGTTGATTAGAATATTGGAAGGAGGGCTTGGTGTGATGGAGATTAAGATTTGATTGAGGAGAAAATGGATGCTCCACTTAGTGGGGTTTGGTTTAATGTTTTTTCTGAAAAAAGTAATAATAATACATAGGATTATCTTTGGAAAGTGGCCGGGTCCCTGAGCTCTCTTCCACTTTAGGATGTGTGGTACGCATCGGATAGGTTCTCGAGAATCAGAAATCCTCCCAGATTGATGTTGCTTGATCCTACGATGCCATTAGGTAGCTTCACCCGAGAAAGGGATATATCATCCAGTGTCTGTTCATTCAGGTGCTCAGCGCATTGTTCTCGTAACAAAGAGTCAAAGATGCCTTTGGAAGATTATATTGTAGATTATTTGATCCTATTCCTAGCTAGCCAATTATTTATAATGAAATTTTTTTTTGTCAATTTAAACAGCAATCTTATTGGTTCAATTTTTTATTTAATATAATGTCTGGTCTTTTGGATTCAAAAGAGGAAGTGATCCAAGTGGGCTCGTCCGTAGTTAAGGATTTATTAAGTTATGTGGTGATAAAAAATTATTTCATATGATGAAAGCATGACATTATAGATTAACTAAAAATCATGTATTTTTTTTAGCAATTATTGGAGTAGCAGATGCTACTGTCTCAAATTGAATTAAGCACTATTGTCGCAAATATAATTGAAAGTAGCTTTTTAAATATTTTTTTCTTTCACAAAATTCAAACCCTATTAATTTTGAGGAATTTAGTCTTTCCATATATCCTGCCATTATTGATTGTTTCTCTAATCTTGGCTTTTGTTTCACTTAATTGTATTTGAGTTCTTCACATTTTAGCCCGCGGAACATATATAGTTTTGATCGAAGGCAACCGATTTAATTGCTTCATTCAAAATCTTTTTTGTTGTTGATAATTTTAATGGTTTTCTACATGAAACAATCAAACTTCCATGTATAATGACATGAGCAATTTAACATTATCTTCATTTGTATGTATGAATCAGATTTAAATCTGAAGGATTAGACTTTATGCACTCCAGATGGAGTGATTCGCAAGCCCCAGCTGGAAAGCTGATTAACCCATAGGTAGGTGGTTGGCAAGCTTATACGTATACATATATATATGTATATATAATTATAGTACAAATCTTGTCGCATATTTGAATTCTATGAATCTTTCTTGGTACATAAAAATGCAACATGTCATGTTAGACGCCAATATAATAAGATTAGATATAATATATATGCGCACAGATTCATCAAAATCTTCAAAAGCCTGCAACTAGTTAGATCGCAATCCTTTGGGATGATACTAATTTATTAATTAAACCGTCTACTTAGTCAATACTCTGATGTGCAATTTGAGTTTTTGATTATATTTGTGGCTACTTTAATCTCAGATTAATACAAAACAAGGCAAGTGTGCTTGAGGGTGTTATATAACTCGTTAACGATCTAACTTTTTTTTTTTTGGTGTAAATGAGGCATAAAGCCTAAAAGTATAGAAAAAATAGTAATGAAAACAAACATGTATATATAAATGATTTGTATTGAGGAAGATGCACGGAGACAAGTGGAAAAGCCTTCACTTTTTTTTTTTTTAAAATTAAGGAAAATGGAAAAAAGCTCAACATACTGGTAATAAAAATTTAATGATTTATTTTGTTTTATTAATTGTTGAAGAGATAAAAAGCTGTGCTTTTTAGCTTGAGGCTGTACTACATGGAACCACTAGCTGGATATATCCATATCTTTGCGGGCTGGATCTCACTATGTTTGATTTTTTATTCGGTCCCACAGGCCCCACATCATGGGACTTAAATGAGTTGAAAATAAATTATTAAGAGTGTGTTTGAATCAGTGGTGTCAAAACTGACTTTTGTTCTAATTGAATTTTATAAACTTAAATTAGAATAAAAGTCAGTTAGTGTAATATGATTTATATTTAGATTGATGTTATAAAAAGTAAGTTAAATAAGCTGAAACTTGTTTAGATAATTAATAGAAAAGTAAGTTTAAATGTAAAAATGACTAAAAAGGATATGAATTTTATTAAATAGTAGTGCTTTATATTATATGATATTAATACAATAATTTATTTAGCTTCTTTAACATCTTCAAATTAGTTTATTGGGATCTTATATTAAAGAGCAAAAGTAATATATCATATTTATACAATTTGAAAAATTAAAAAAAAAATAAATTGAAATAATTAAATTTTATTAGGTGATTTTTTCTTCTTAGAAAAAAAATCAAATTATTGAGTCAAAACAGGACCAATTTAAATACCCTTATCTTTTTTCTTATTCTTCTTGTTTTCTTCTTCCTCGTTGCCAACGGTAAAAGCTCAAATTTCCAGTTTTACCTGTAACTAACTTTTTTTCTAAAATCCCATTTGAGAAAAAGCTTATCTAAACAAGCACCATTGTAAAAATAAGCCTCTAAGGGGGTGTTTGGATAGCATGCGAAATACTTCTGAAAAGTACTTTTCTGCAAATCGAGATAAACCCCTTCAGATATTTACTTTGTATATCGTAAAATCACTTTTGAAACTATAGTTTGATTTTCATCTAAACACCCCCTAATACTGCTTGCACGTTGTCCCATGCACTTTTAGAGGTGGGAACGACATTCAGAACACACTGTAGACTGACATAAATTTCAGAGTTTGAGATATTTATGTTTCAATTTCAAATATAATTCTTAACTAGACAATATTTAGATCAAATTTCTTATATTCATTATATTAAGTTCTCAAATCACACATAGTTATATATTCTATTTTTGAGATATTAACATTTAATATCATTTAATTATAAAGCCACATGAAAAAAAAACACATTAATTGGAAAACTTGATATAATAGATATAAGTAACTTAAGTATTTTTCTGCTTCATTTGTGACTGAGATTTATATTTGAAATTACTTAAATTGATATTTATCATTTTGTTTTAGAAGAATTTTTTTAGAGAGCTAACTGTTATTTTCCTAATAAAAATTCATATTGTAAATCCTCACTGTTAAAGGCATAAAATTGAGTAAAAGGCAAATAAGCAATGGGCATTATGTTGACGCATATTTTCTTTTATTTATTTATTTATTTAATATCATTAAGTTTTGTGATTTGGTGACATGAAATTATAAATTTTTTTATATTATTTGCATTATGGGAACAGTTTTTATTTTGTAAATATATAAATTTTCACGTGTTGAATAATTCTGTTGGGTAATATCGACCCATCATAAATGTGTAGGGAGCTACCATAATACTAACCATTGTTGTCAAATTCACAAGTTGACACTCTAAGTTTAATATTTTTATATTTTAATCTTACAAAATCATGTCGACTTACTTTTAAATTCTTGCTACCTATAAATTTGATTGAATTTATGAGTTTACTTACCGATTTCACTGTTTTTACATTTTTAACTTACAAAATCGTGTGAAATTGCTTTTAAACTTTTGCTAAAATTTTGAATTATTTATGTTTAGTGAATTTATATATAAATTTTATAGAAATTTCTTTGTTGAATATAGTAAATTAGAAACGTTTATGAATTTAATATATTTAAATAAAATTATTTTTATTTTTATTTTTTAATTATTTAATTATATAATTTTAATATCAATTTATTAATAAAAGTAAACTCTTGTGAGTTTATTATTCGAGTTTACATTTCTATCACAAGTTTGTTTAAACTTGTGCATTTGACAACATAGTGACTAACAATGCAAAATAGATAAAATCTATTTATTTCTTGAAACACAATTAAGGATAATATTATAATATTGTTTTCAGTTATAAACATAAGATTCTAATTCCCCTTGTCTTAAATATTTATTCATTTTAAAGAGTTTTCATAATAGATAGTTCTAATATACATGATTAACAAAGATATTTTAGAGAAAACAACATTTATTAATTATAAATAACTAATTTAATTAGTTTTTTATATCCACAAATTAGTTATCTAACTTTTATACCACCTTATGTCTTTAATATAAGACTTAGTTGACTAATTTGAAGAGATTAGAAAAGTTACTAAACTTCTTAATTATAACATATCTTACATGATTTTTCTAAAACACTTATATGTATCATTAGATTATATATATATATATATATATATCAATTTATATGAGTGACAAATTAGTTTGAAGAATACTTTGTGTCAATTCTTTTGAGTAATATACTAATATACCTGATGAAAAAGCCTATGGATTTCTTATTAACATTCACTACAAAAAAACAGACTTTAGGCGACGACTTTCGGTGGCGACAAAAAAAGTCGCCGCTGAAAGTCCACTTTCGGCGGCGACACCAAAAAGTCGCCGCTGAAACTAAGACTTCCAGCGGCGACGAAAATGTCGCCGCGGAAAGTGGACCTTTAGCGGCGACTTTTTTTTGTCGCCGCCGAAAGTGGACTTTCAGCGGCGACTTTTTTTATCGCCGCTGAAAGTGGACCTTTAGCGGCGACTTTTTTTGTCGCCGCCGAAAGTGGACTTTCAGCGGCGACTTTTTTAGTCGCCGCCGAAAGTGGACTTTCAGCGGCGACTTTTTTAGTCGCCGCTGAAAGTTCGCTATTGAAACCAAGACTTTCAGCGACGACCTTTTTTGTCGCCGCCGAAAGTGGACTTTCAGCGGCGACTTTTTTAGTCGCCGCTGAAAGTTCGCCATTGAAACCAAGACTTTCAGCGGCGACAAAAGTGTCGCCGCCGAAAGTGGACCTTGAGCGGCGACTTTTTTTGTCGCCGCTGAAAGTATAATATAATAATATATATTTTATTTTACAATATTAATAAACAAATTCAATCTAGCTCAGCGGCAAGAAGGTTGGACACGAAAGGAGGCGGTCACAAGTTCGATCCTGGAAGAAGACACATTTAAG